GAAACTCAAAACAAACAAACAAACAAACAATATATCGTTACAAAGACAAGAGAAACGGGTCTTAAATGTGACGGAAATGGTGACAGGATATAGGTAAAGGTCAAGTGTATGATCGGTAAGCAAACCTTGCCAAACAGAGCTAACGTTGCTAGAGCCATTATCACGATTTAGTGAGAGGTCGTTTACTTTGATGATTTCTATAGTTTCTAAACAGTCTCTTTATTTTTTAATTTTGGGTTGGTGTAGGAGAATAATTTCATCGTAAAGTATTTTGTGACCTGTGTTATACTAGTGATATATTAAAGCGGATACATGAAATTCACCACTATGCATGTGACTTTGGTGTTTTTTTGCGTCTTATTTCTAAGGAACGTTGCTGAGTACTGATCGTACCTGAAGCGGAAAGACCAAAGTTCTGTCGAAACATGTAGTATGTTCCACCATCAACAAAATTCTTACTTATAAGTTTATGCTTTAAAAAACAAACGGGAATCTTCATCATCGTCTAATTCTGCTACTTATTTTGTTCGTTACAGGGCAGTCCATCGATTAGCATGCCGGACCATTGTTCGTGTCCCGTTACCACAAAAAAATCGTGCTCCGCATTTTGCGGCAGTGGGCGCGTTATATGAATGGCAGTCAAATCGTACCATTCGGCCTGACAAGATTAGCCCAAGAATTGGCAGTGGGTTGGTATTAACTGGTTACATTTCCTTATGCAGCTTTGAGCGAAATCCAACGAACAAAGTTTTAGGGGAAATTTTGAGTTTCGATCCCCGAAGTGGAAACAACACATATAATCTGTTATGTAGCTTTGGTGGCAGAGATAAATAAGTTTCTTTCAATCTTAATGGTCCAGGCAGTATATCGAGCTTCAGACATTGTAGTCTAGTGTTTCACAAACGGTGGATCGTGACCCCCCCAAAGGGTCGCGAGCAGGTTTCCAAGGGGGGTCACGAGCTGTCTGCACTGAGTCAATACTTTGTTTTGTGTCCTCGAGGTGTCTGAGAGGTGCACGTATCACCTTTTTTTTTTTTTACGAATCATGACGAACAGTTTTTTTTTTCTTCATCCTTATGCAGATAATGGAGGGGCGTCGCGACGATCAAAGCTCGGACGTGTGGGAAGTCCGGCTGAGAAACACTGGTCTAGACTGTTTGTGGTTTTGTGATTCTGACTTGATGAATGCAGAAAACTTAACTATGAGTGAGATAAAGAAGAGAGAAAATGATTAATTAATTGTTACAATAAATTTCCGGTTGAGAAACATAGCCACACTCCATTTGTTTCTGTTTGTTAAGTTACAGTTGAAAATACGCCGTGTCATAGAGAAAGTACTGGAATGAGACTCCTGTCAATGTTGTCCCCCGGTGAGACAGCGGTAAGTTTACGGACTTACAACGATAAAATTAGGGGTTCGATTCCACTCGGTGGATACAGCAGATATGCCAATATGGCTTTGTTCTAAAAACAAACAAAACAAACTATTAGTGTTTATTTGTGAGTAAAAAAAAATGTTAATGCGTATAGGTTAAGTAATGTGTGTGATTGGGTCGAATAAGCTCAGTCAAGATCTTGGATACGGCCCCCTGTTGGACAACTCTCAGGTAAGCTATTAATATCCTGATATCATCTTTATGTAGAATTCAAATGAAGGAGGTAACTAGGCAACCGTATAGTGATAACTGTACAACAGGAGACTATGGACATTGAAGGTAAAACATATACAAGGTTCGAACTATGTGGTAGCACTTGTTAGGTTGTAAAAACCAAACGTAATAAGCAGTTCGTTTATTATTTGCTTGTTTTTTTGTCGAATTGCTCATAGAGAAAGCGCATTGATACCAATAAAGTTCGATACAACAATTACTTTTGAGTAAGATCTGGATTTTACTGGGACCTTTATTATGAATTGACCAATTGTATTAGCCATAGGGTTTTTTATATCATGTTAACATGGAGAAGCAAACCTTAAAAATCCTTCCATAAATAAATTTCATACCATTTTTTTTTTCACGAGTACGAGCCTGGTTCCAAATCTTGTATTCTGCTGACGAAGCGTGTTTTTCATGGGAGCTGACCCAACTATTTTGTATAATGCTGCTATAGGTAGTTTAGGACGCGTATAGAGAGTACCAGCTGTTTACTTTTAGCACTAAAAATCTTAGCTTAAGTCGTTTCTGGAAACATGGAAGCAGTGCTTAGCAGCTCCTTCTTCCTTCACCCCCCCTCATCTTTCCACGTGCAGCAAGCAAACAGCGCGTGAATGTGACGCACTCTTCTAGTTAAACAAACAGAGAAGAAAGTTAAACACACTAAACCGTATTTACTTGGAACGTGCGATTAGATATTTGGCATGTGGAAGTGTTTGTTTGTAGTTAAGCACAAAGCTACACAAAGGGCTATCTGTGTTCTGCCCACCACGGGTATCGAAACCCGGTTTCTAGCGTTGTAAGTCCGCAGACATGCCGCTGTGCCACTGGGGGGGGGGAGTGTGGAAGTGTACGGAATATGGACACTGAGCATGTGTAAATATCATAGTAGTTATATTCAAATTAAATAATTCAAAGAATAATTATTCAGTAAAGTATTAATTAGCTAATCTTGGAAAACAGACAGGCATACAAAATGGTGACAATTATTTTTATAACTGTACCACCTTTGTTAGATAGTTGTAATAGAAAGTGTAACAAAAGAAATAAATGAAGTAGTGAAAAAACCACAGGAAATGGAAGAAACTCTCAGAAGTCTGATATCGGAGAAATTAGTTTCGACACATTCGTGTGCGCCCCCCAGTGGCACAGTTTGTTCCGTTACTGTAGTTTTTTTCACTAGTTGCTACACACGATATTGTGTTTTTTTATCAAATAAATAAAACTTTTGGACCTAATAGTTGTTTTTAGTTAATGATAGGCTTCAGTTACCACTTTTATTGAACTTCAGTTGAGCATATACTGGGGTGAAAAAAAGAACAAATACAAACTGGAAAAAATATCTAAAATACGACCGAATATCTTACCGTACTAGCCAGCATATTGAGTATATAAACAAGTCTGCTTTTGTATAGAGCGAGCTATGCCAGCTAAGTTTAATTTCGATATATATATATCTTGCAGGAAGGATTTAACATACATCTATAGGGAACGACAGTAATATAAATTCCAAAAACTTAAAATGTCCAAAGTGATGTCAGAATGGACAAGAGCTATATAGTAAAATCTTGAGCGCATAGGACAGTAACGACGGGAAGCGTGTTTGTGTGTGCGATAGGGACTGTTGTACATTTAGCTACATTGTGAAACAAAATAGACAACGGAAACTCCGATATGCTCCGAATTTAATGTTTTTGTCATCTTTTGTCCAACCTGTGTATGTACGCTTTTAATATCTTTCCATTCTTTAAAGTTACATTTCACAATTTTTTAAAGATCAGACAGGCGTAGCCAAGTAGTTAACGTGCCCAAACCGAGAATCACGTGAATTCGCGAATTTATGTTCTTGTTCCGTTGCGCAAATATGCGTTTCGCACTTTGGGACCTCAGATGTGCTGTAAGAGTAGCAGGCGAATCCCACTATTAAGTCGGACAGAGTTGTCTAAGAGTTGGTTGGGACAGACATACACAAAGAATCATTGTGTAGCTTTGTACGAAGTCCTAAAACAAACATGATTTTGTTAGACATTTTGAGTAATAATGTTGAGCAAATTTGCACATAGATTGTATTTGATAACGGATTATTTGATCCCTTAAGTTTCTTTCTATCATCTGCTCATTGTTATTTGTTTTATCTAACCGCCGTCGTCATGAAGACGTATTAAATATAAAAATCTCACGGAATATTAGTGTGAAATATAATATATTATATTAACTATATAAATCTCACGGAATGTTAGTGCGAAATATAATATATTAATTATATAAATCTCACGGAATCCTAGTGTGGAATATAATATATTAATTATATAAATGTCACGGAATGTTAGTGCGAAATATAATATATTATATTAACTATATAAATCTCACGGAATGTTAGTGCGAAATATAATATATTAATTATATAAATCTCACGGAATCCTAGTGTGAAATATAATATATTACAAAGGTAGTAATGGCTGTAATTGTTTATGTAAATATTAATCTAAATATCTCCTAGTTATATACGTATAAACTGTATAATTATGATATTAAATCAGATTGCTCTTCTTTATATTTACTTTCAGCGCTTTTTGACTAAAGCATTAGTTGAAGCCCCCTAGTGGCACAGCGGTATGACTGCGGACTTACAACGCTAGAATCCAGGTTTCGATACCAGTGGTTGGCAGAGCACAGATAGCCCATTGTGTAGCTTTATGCTTAATTACAAACAAACAAAGCATTAGTTGAAGCCCCCTAGTGGCACAGCGGTATGACTGCGGACTTACAACGCTAGAATCCAGGTTTCGATACCAGTGGTTGGCAGAGCACAGATAGCCCATTGT